GGCCCCGGCGTAAACTACCCAACCTAGGAACCCCCAGAGGGTGAAAGGGAAGAGGCAGGACTATTTGGAATGGCAACTTTGAATGCTTCCCACAAAAAGCGTTGAGCAGCCATAGTCTAAGCCAGTGAATACAGTTTTGTTGTGGGAATGTCACAAAGCCCACTTGTGCAATTGCCAAAACGGTGTGACAGAAGCAGGCCCCACACGCTGGTCACGTGTAATGCAAACCACCTCTGTACTTGTGTTTGGAACTGTTTTCTTTGCCTTTCTTTCTTTTTTTTAACATTAGATGATGAGGCAGGCTCCTTTGGACACGACTTTCTCTAAGGAGCCCTGGAGCTGTAACTTTCTGGAGGTGAACAAGGCCTGTGCCGTTCGATAGCACGGGTTACTGGTGGGAGTTCCTACAATACTGAAACGGGCTCGCACTGTTTCGGGGTGCCTGTGCCCAAGAGAGGCCACTCCAGCGGGCAGTGCTCTACCTTTGGGGGAGCTGACACTCCAGGCCCGCTGCGTGGGACTGACAGAAACAGCCAGGCCCGTTCCTTCGCAGGGACCCCACAAGGACTGTCAGCATGACTGAAAGGGCCCATTGGGTGACCTCTGAGCATTCACCAGGAGTGAGGCTGGCCTCAGTAAACCATCTCTGAAGAAGAAATAGCATTAAAACTGCTGTGGTCATAAATACATTTTATTTCATTAGAAATGCTTAATTACAGTGTTGAGAGCATTTCCCCCTAGAAAAGTAGGTAAGCAATATTTCCATCAAAATCATTAGTTGTCTTTGCAAATACCTATTTTCATTACACTGAACAGAGCACACAGCAAAGGGCTTCTGCTACTCCATTTTTTTCAATTTTCTTTTTTGTTATAAACACCATAGCAAATTAAAAAAAGCTGTTTAAACAGAGAAAAATATTGTAGTTCTTGATTTTCTGCGTGTACTTAACGCAATCCACACTGTGCTTCCCCACTCTATCTCTGGACACCAACAGTGTGACTCAAACGAAAGGGGTCTTCTGGCAGGGGCGGCGGCTGTTGTTGTCATCTGTGTATTTATTGGGACACTTTCTCCTGTGGACAAGGCTTTCGGATGCACTTTAACAGAATGTGCGCAGTCACCTCCGTGCAAAGCCGTGGGGCCAGGACACGTGGAGAACTGGGTGGTTGGCTGGAGCCCGCGCTGAGCGCGGTGACGGCTCCATCTCAGGTCCTGTCGCAGTCAGGTGGCCTGTCCTGCATCACTGGATCTGAATGGCTCCGTGCTCAAGCTGCATTTCCGACTGCAGGGTGGGCTGCAGGGTCTCAGCCGTCTGCAAGAGGGGAGACAGGAGGGCTTTTCTATAAAAGGACCCGCCACTCACCAGTCACAGAACACCAATGGTTTCCACGCACAGAGCAAACACACAGCAGAGCTGGCGGGGGAGGGGAGGGGTCCTAGCTCCATCCCCGCCTTGAGCGACGACTCTCCCAGAACCTGATCCACTCACGCAGCCACGCAGCAGCTCTGACAAGTCCAGGCCGCCTCCCTCCTCATGGGGCCTTCCGCTTGCCCAGAACCCGCCAACCCTCCCACACACGCTCCAGGGCTCCCTGAAGCCTGTCGTGCTGATTCCCCATTCCTACCCGCTGCTTATTGCTGGGGAAGACTCTCGCAGTGGTTAACACGCCCTTAACCCAATATATTTGTCTAGAATTTCTGTTACCCTTTCGCCTTTTCTTATAAAACCTGTTCCAATAGTCCAAAAAAAGCATTTTAGGGGCAGCTACCTTTCTTCCCTTAAAGACCTAAGTTCAAATTAATGAGTTACAGATATTAAGGATTTTAAATGCATATTCACAGCTTTAAGATAAGTTAAAGGGAAAAACGCAACCATGGAATAAGTCAGCAATCATCCAGAACTGGCCCCCAAAGGGAGAGCTGGGTGTTTTTAGAATCCCCCATGCAACCTGCCAAAGGCGATGCCACGAAGACTAGGCCCTCAGAGATGGGTTTCCCAGCTTCCCAGCAGGAAATTTAGCTGGAGGGGCCCGGCATGGTGACCACAAAGGAGAGACAAAGAAAGCCACAGAGACAGTAGGCAGAAGTCCCCGGGTGTGGGGGCTGGAGTTACAACGCCGACCACAGGCCCAGGGTGCACTTCTGAAATAGTACACAAACATCCAACGACGTTCAGCCTAGTGTCTCCTTAAAGCAGAGGCCTTCAGGTTCCAGGTGCAGGACTCGGCGCAGGCGCCCTCCGCACTGTCTACAGAGCCCACGGGAGGTGCAGTGACCAAGGGATAAGCCTGTGACACAGGCGCGGGTGGGGGGTTCCCCACGAGTTTCTGGACAACAGAAAGTGGACTAAGCATGTTGGCAGCTGCAGGCAGCGGGAGGGAGGCAGGAGGGAGGCCAGGCTGGGGCAGTGAGCACACATTGCATTCTCTATTCCATTGCTATCTGTCCTAATCGATAACGCTCAAGACCTGTCAGCTGTGAACAGAGACAAAGGACGCTGACAGGAAGCCAAAGGGGCAAAGGGCTAAAAGGGACACAGCCTTCTTCAATTCTGAAACCTGCAGAATAACCACAAACTTAGAATCCAGTAAAATGACCCAGAACCCAGCCCCGAAAACCTGACGGCCACGCACCATGTGATCCTGCTGTGCCTGCCCAGCGGCACAGAGTGGGCTGCCTTTACAGAATGACCCCATTCATGACAACGTGGGTGTCACACACATCACCCAGTGTGGGACGAGGTGGGGCTTGCACGGGAGCTTTCTCCCAGGACAAGTTCACTCTCACACCACACCAAATAAGCTGGTCGGGAAGAACACACACACACACACACACACACACACACACACACGCGCACGCGCACACACACGCACACGCACACACACACACAATGCACACGCGCGCGCACATGCTCTAGGCTACATGCTCATCCTTAGTCTCCAGAGTAGGAGCCTCTCTGGTCACTGCTGTGTGAAAGCCCAACACCGCTCAGAGTCAGAAGTGCCTTGAGGTGCCCAGGCCATGGAAGCGGCTGGAGGGGCCGTCTCCTCCAGGACACACCTTCCCAAACTCTGGATCAACTGGGGCCTCGTTGTGATTCAGGGGAGTAAGAATTTAAGTCCTCACAGGACTGCTGAGTTCACCCAGCCAGCCACTTGGCCCTAGGGTCACGTGGGCAGCCTTCTTGGCTGTGCTGAGCACCATTCCTCAGCAACCACCTCACGAGGCTGCAAATGAACCAAACGAAAATAGCCTTTCCTCCAATGGCTACGGAGCGCACATGATCCCTAGCGCAGTGCAGAGCAGAGGCTGAGGGGAGAGGGAGGACAGCCTGAAAATCTGGGGCTTTAAATCTAAGCGTCAAAGGCTGAAGCAGCAAGATACACAGGCTTTCAGTGCCTGGCCACAGAAAGGAGAGGAGCAGACCCAAAGAGGACGGCAAAACATGCAAGAAGGCGGAGCAGGAGTCAACACCCAGCAGGCTGGAACAGAACACCAAACAGGGTCCTGTGGCAGGGGGCTCTGAGGCCGTCCCCAGGCCAGGGCTGCCCCAGACATGCAGCCTTCCCCTGCTGTCCCCTGGTCAGAGCATATAAAAGCCCCAGCACCACAATGGCACTCGTCTTGATCTCAGCAATAAAGTTAGTGACTTCAACTTGCAGCCTACGAGGCAACGAGCACATGTCATCTGCAGCACCGGCAGCCTTGTGCTTTGTTCCGAGGGACTGCCTGCCTTCGCAGGAGCAATCCTATGGTTCCTCTCATACAAACAGGAATCCACCCTAATTTTAGAACTGGTTGTTTCAACACAGCCAACAAATCAGACAGAAGCCACTCATACTGTCCTCTGAAGGGGCTCAGGCCATCAGGCTTCTGCCAGCTCTCCCTGCCAGCACCGGGGGCCAGGCCTGGTTCCCCCAGACCCACGGGGACTCTCTTGAAGAGAGAGGCCATGATGCTCATTCCACCAAGTACACTCATCGTGGGGCAGCTCCATGAATGCTTCTAAAGAAGCAGCCCTCTCATCTGACGCTTCAGAAAGTGTTCACACGGAGTCTGAATGCTGGAGTTTCCAGTGCTCCCGGGAATGAACGGATAAAGGGCAGCGCAGGCAGAGATCCAGCAAAGCAGACAACGAGAAGCTTCCGTGGCAAGCTCGCCAGTGCGCACAGTCCGTCAGACATGCTGAATGAGTACGTAGCACACAAAGGGAAGACTGGGCCTTACGAATGTGGCGTTCCCAACAAGGTTGTCAGGATGCCACGCGACAAGTGTGGTGTAGGAAGCCGGAGACCTGGCCGAACAGTGCTCGTAGGACCCAGTGCAGGCCCCACGGCTACCGCGGCTAGCCTGCATCTCCACCACAGAGCAGCGGGCTGTGCAGAAGCAGGTGCCCCACAAGACTGCCCGCTGGGCAAAGCGTCAAGGCCGAGGGCTGGGCCTGCAGGAGCGCTGCCCCCTGCTGCCCCCCCACAGAGAAGCGGCGAGGTTTCAGGTCAGCAGGGATCCCTTGCTTGCAGAGGAGGATTGAGCAGAACGTCATTTTTGCCTCTGAATTTATAGACAAACACTTGCACAAGACCGAGTGTCTCAAGAATCAGTGTAAGGCTACCGACATTGGCCAGGATCTAACTTCTCTCACCTGTACGTTTTCAGGCACTTAAAAAAATGGAATTCCAAATGAGTGCCTCTGTCTGTACAAATGATGACTTGTTCACTCAATGGTAATTACCTTGCAGGAGAACTTCAGAAGTAGTAAGACCCAAACTGGGGCCTGTGTTCATACCTGCAGAAGCCCCAGGCCCTATCCACAGAAAGGGCATCCACTTCTAGAAGGGACAGGACCCACCTGAGCTGCAGTAGTGTGGTCTGTCACTGGCGCCAGCTGGACGTACTGGACCTGGATGTCACTGCCCTGGAGAGGCGACCCGTCCACCCCTGCAGCAGCAGGGTCCGAAGAGGCCACAGCTATCAGCTGGGCTCCTTGCAGCACCTGGAGGGACAAAGCAGACCACCGTCAGCACTGGCCCAGGTGTGAGGGCAGAGGTGAGTACCACACACGCAGACTCCGCCATGACCGTACGAACCAAGGAGGATGGCCCAGGACCACAATCCCTACTGTGGGTTTGGCTCGTGAATCACTCAGGAGGGACGTCTGATTGGCGAGCGTCCATGTGTGGTGTGAGCGCGTGTGAATGTCTATGTGTGTGACCAGGTTTCCACTACTCCTGCAAGTGACCTCCCTCAAACTTCCACTATCAGACACAAAAATGGCTTTTGAAGCCTTATAGGAAAAAAATCAACCAGCTCGAGTTTCCAAAGAGTGAGTGTGGCCGAGGGCATGCCTGAGGACACAGGGACAGAGAAACAGCGGGACACAGAGCAGGAGGTAAAGTAACTGAAGACACCCCGGAAATCACTGTTGTTCTAGGTTCACAGGAAGGGGAGGCCTGGAGGCAGCCAAGGAGAGGGACAGGACATGGTTGGCACGTCCTTGACTCACAGGCAAGACACATTCACCAGCTCAATTTTGGGAGCCCCCAGATCATTTGCGAGTCACGGGAGATGAAAAAGCACCCCCAAGAGTTGACGACAGAGTTTAAGAAATAGCAGAAACATGCATGTGAGTTACAAAACCCAGCGCTCCAGATGGAGTCGAGAAGACCTCTTGGTGTGGAGCGGTGGTCAGAAAAGAGGAGACACAGGTGAAGGATGGCTGGAGAAGAGCTCCCGGGGGGTAAGACCAAGTTCCAGAGACAAATCACCAACATATGGGCCTTCCTCACAACCAGGACACTGCCCTGGCCTGTGCCTGGAGGAGGGGGCTAGATGAGCCCTCATGGGATGGGCTCTGGGTGACCCCACCACTCGTGAGCACCGCCATGTTCAGGCCCACTTCCCGCCTTGCCCACCTGGTGCTCCAGCAGCTGGAAGGCGGGCTGGCACCTCGACACCCTGCAGGCCAGGATGGGGAGGTGGGGGTAGGGGCCCTGAGGCTTTGCATTCATGAGAGTGAGTTGCCATGAGCTGTGAGGGTCTTTACTTAGGGGTTGCGTCCCACCCCTCCTTCAAACGCTATGCCCATGGCACCACCTTCCGGAGTCGCTTTCGGGCCGTCCATAGTGAGGCAACAATGACCATACTTCCTGGCCAGCCCACTGCCTCCTGCAACAGCGTCAGAGCTGAGGAGGAGGGTGCAGATATGTGGAGAGAGGATGGACTGCCCACTCCAGGAAAGGCGGGCTTGGAGTCTGTATGAAAATATAGTCTGCGGTTTTAAAAACAGTGTGTTAGTTTTTGAAAAGCAGGAGTTCTATTTCTTTAACAAAGAACCCATCACTGGAAAAAAACAGGTAAACTCAATTTTTAAAAGAAAAGATGGCAGCAAGTTCTTAACTACTTTGCTTTTCGTGTCTTCAGAAACCATTTGCGAATGGCTTTACACTCTAATACCAGCTGGCTGGATTGGGAAGAACACTGCCCCCGAGATGTACACGTCCTCATCCCCAGACTCCATGGGTGTATGCCCTGACACACACGGGCAGAGGCACTTTGCAGATGGGGTTAAGTTGATCATCCCAAGACGGAGAGAGTATCCTGGAGTTATCAGATGGGCCCAACGTCACAAGGGCGTCTTTAAAGCAGAGACTCTTCCCCAGCTCCAAAGAGTGGACTGGACATTGCTGGCTTTGAAGACGGAGGAAAGGGCCACGAGCCAAGGAGTGTGGTGCCTCGAGAAGCCAGAAAGGGCAGGAAACGGGGTCTCCCCTGGAGCCTCCAGAAGGAACCAGCCCTGTGACCCCTTGACTTTAGCCCAGGGAGACACGTGTTGGATTTCTGACCTCCATACTGAGAGCATAAACGTGGGTTGTTTAAGCCACGAGGTGTGTGGCCATGTGTCACAGGAGCCACAGGACATGCATACAATTGCGGTCACCATTTCCTCAACTACCTCCTTTGAGCGCAGGAACTGGCTTCTGGGTCCCCAAAGGGCTGATTTGACAACAATGGTTCTTTATTAAAACACTACTCTTTTCCATTATAAACCACTTGCACTAGTGAATTTTTGAAAGGTTTACAAAAATTGGAGAAAACTGAAGTCTCTATTATTCACATTTTCTTTTCTCAGCACTTACTCTCCATGATCAGACAATAAGACACAGTGCTGTCCAGGTCCATTGCTTTGCTTCCCCATCACCAGGGGGGCAGCCACCCCTATCTGGCCAGCGGGGCCGAGCAGCTTTGGGCAGCGGCCGGCATGGCCGCAGCAGAACTAAGGCGCCGGCTCAGTCTAGGGGCATCCCTGCAGCACCCATGGCCCTCAGTGCTCAACGCCAAGGGTCCCCGAGTCTCCTCCGCGTGGCCAGGAGGGCCTCTGCTGGGCATCAGTCTCCTTGTGGCTTGGGAAAGCACTGTCAATTTTTTAAGAAAGGGCAGCAAGATTCAGGGCTCCCTAGGCCCCTCCAGCAAATGTCCCGACATGCCCTCCACTCCACAAACTCCCGGCACCGACAGAAAGTCAAAGAAGTCTAATCCAGAAAAATCAGCTGGGACCTGAAGAAAGGAGACACGAAGCTATGTTTAGTCATAAATGTATTTCAGGAGCCTCTGTGCATCAGAGCGGAGGGGCGGTGGTTTTACTTTTTTGGCATGAAGAGTAAAACTGTCAAAGCCCCTTCAAAAATCACACGTCAAATGTCACGTTTCCTTAGCTTGAGCAAACTGAACCTGATGTGTCTGCTCCAACTGCCACAATCCACACAATGCCTCAGGGTTTTGCCACGTATCATGAAGAGGATACCCCGGGATCAGTCATGTGGGGTAACTGAAGGTGGGGTGACCCACAGGGTAGGCTGGAGTGGGGGACATGCCTGCACACACCCCAAGCCAGCAGGCTCCACTGCATGCATGCCTCTCCGCTGCCCTGTGCCTGGCAGCCTGCCCTTGTGTCCAGCTGGTTGACTCCTGCCTCCCTCTCCTCTGCCTCTTCTCCCCCTGCCTCTGATTTTGCTGCTGACGGTCTTCCCTTCCCCGGAGAACAGACGCCATCAGAGGACCCGGTGAGTCCCACCCGGCCCACCACGGCCCGCTCTGGAGCCCTGGCCACCTCCAGGCACACAGTGCATCCTGCTCAGGCATTTGCTCCAAGTTCCCCGGACCTCCACCAGTGGAATAGGAGCTCAGGAAGGGCACAGGGGCAGAGGGGTCTGTTTTGTTCAATGCCAAATCCCCAGCATCTAGCACTGTACCTGACATTCGATAAATATTTGTTAAGTAAATGAAAATGAAGCTGATATTGATGAGGAAAGACTAAGAATGAAAAACAGGTGACAAAACAGGCTAGCGCCTCGATGGGTCCGTCAGATAGGGAGTTAACTGGTGGTGAAGGACAAAGGAACATGGACACGCGTCCGCGTGTTTTTCACAGGTTCTCCTGGTGTCTATCTAGTAGAAGTTGATGCAGTTGTTCCTGAGCCAGGCAATTCTAGAGGAAAGCTTAGAAGACACAAATGAAAAGTTTTCAGAAGAAAATGTGAAGGGGGTAAGAGCACTTAAGTGTTATGAAGACACCTTGGTAAACTAGAAGAGAAAAGGGCATGTGAGGGATGACTTTCCTGTAAACACAACATCACCTGGGGTGTGAGTGGAGGAAAGCGCAGAGGACACAGGCCAGGGGGGAAGGGGGAAGGCCACACAAGCCAGGCTGTGCTGACCGCCTGCTCCGCCCCACTGCCAGTCCTCCAGACCAGACGCCAGCTCGCCTCACTCCCGCCTGGCTGCGGGCCTCTCCATGGCCCTGATACGAAGCACTCCTTCCCTGGCCCTCTTCACAAGGCTGAGCCAGCTGACCCGTGTAAAAGAACCTTTGCACTCGTGGATTCTCTGTGACAAGACAAATTCAGTTTCCCAAAAGGGGCCATGAAAAGGCAAAGTCAGTCGAAAGGTCTCTGAATCCAAACACCACTGCATCAAAGCCAGCCTCCAATGACCGGATGAGAATGTTTACTCATGCGCTTTGCACACTCTAAAGCACCACTGAAAGGTCATGCACAAATAGATTACAAGTAGTGTTACAGGTACAGCAATTTGGTTATGATGAGCCATTGCAAGATTACAGTGAGTGTCTGAGAGAAGTGAATGGAACTTACTGTAAAGTCTGAACTAAAGGAAAGGACATTTGCTTTTTCTCTGAATTTTAGTTTAGCATCTAAATCATCTTAAATGAGCTAAACTGTCACTTAAGATCAAATGTCAGCAAGTGCGTGGCCTGCACTGCATGCTCTCTAGTATCTACTGAAGAGCCTGCACCGGAGGCCACTAGGCTGCTCCAGCTAGACACCCTCAGGCCCCCGCTGGGCCTGCTCTGCCCAGGGCCCGCTGCTCCCTGTACTGTCCTCCCCAACTCCCTCCCAAGGGCAGACCTCCACGTGAACTCCTCCAGAAAAACAAACTCAGCTATGTATTGAGGACCTCCTGTGTGCAAGACAATGCAGGGGTAGGTATAGGACCCCAAGAACATACATTCTAGAACAAACACAGACTATCAAGTGAAGTGGACTGCATTCTCAGAACGAGAAAATATCCAGTCTCTCACCTGCAGAGACTCAGGCAAGTGCTGTGGGAAGGCGGGGGAGGGGGGGACGGCCTGACTCGGAAGCAGAGGGATGGGAAAGAACAGTGTCTTAGGCAGAGGGGAGGAGAAGGCCCAGAGACAGCAAAGGAAGAGACCACGCGGCTGGGGGGTGGGGGGCGTGTCACAGAGAGGAGAGACGGGCTCAGTGCCGGGCGGGGCTTCCAAGGCTCCGTGAGGACAGCGAGAGGGCTGAAGGCTCCAGTGAATTTTGTCTGGCATTCCATGACCAGGATATTTAACTGGTTAGAAAGAACACCGTTCATCCAGACTGACCAGGAGGCCTGGATTCTCTCCAGGCAGGATGGAGGAGACACTTGCCACTTGTGAGCCCATCACGGGACCCCACTGCTGTCCTGCCGTGGCCCGCTCATCCTTCACCCCTTTGCCTCTTTTTGGAGTGGCTGTAGGCCCGGGACCCTGATCCAGCAAATAAAATCCAATATGTGGCTTCACCGTGCCGGCCGGGGAGTGGACACAAGGACTCCATTGCTCTACTGTCAACTCTCAACACTGGATGGAAACATGGTGCTTTGGCCTGGCAAGTCTGCAGGATTGTGCAATATCTCCACGACACAGGTGGGGCTGCCGGTTCCTTACAGACGGTTGCTTCACCCAGGTCTGTAAGTCTCAAGTTAATGGCAACCACTTTAGTCCGAGGATTCTACACTATTTGTCCTCATGCCCCACCTTTCCAACATTTCTGCAAATTGTCAATTCTTTGTGCTATTATTGCATGTGTAGCTACGTTCTTGGGAATCTGGAGACTTAAAACCCCTAGCACAGCGGCGCCATTGCAGAAACATTGACCAGACAATGTGTCATTAGCTGGCCCCATGTCCCACAACATCCTATGTCAAGTCTACCAAGACTGAGACCAACCCAGCTGTGCATGGGTGACAGCTGGTCCGGGAACCTGGCACAGTGCTCACGGCACTTGCACCTGCATCTCTCAGTCAGCAGACTTATTCCTGACTTTCATGCAGCTGGGAACTTTTTATGAACTAGTCCCATGTAGGAACGCCCGTGTGACGTTCCTGCTGTTGGCCCCCACATTCCTCCAAGTGGTAACCTCATGTCTACCTGGCACAATCGAGGGTGGTTTATTACCACGGCAAAGCTGGGCCACCGAGTCCCATTCAGGGGAGGTCTGTGGTTCAGGTGAGAGGTCAAGCAGGGCAACAACGCCGCCACACGACAGTTAGAAAAAGATCAGAATGACGAGAAGACGACATGTGACAGACGTTGTAGGAAATTCCCCAAACCACACAGACAGCTGCCTTCTGGGTGGGTGGAGAAGGAGAAAGAGGGATACAGGCAGCGATGCTCTATGGCTGCCCTGACTTAGCACTGGTTTGCCAGATCCTGAACTTAACCAAAAAAATCTAGGCAACGTTTTGAAATACTTAAACTAAAATGTTAGGTATGATAATGTATTCACAGTTTTGTAATTGATATACATTTTACGAGATCCCTTAAGTGAATTTAAGGTCAAATCATGTAACTAATTTTTAAGGCAACTTATGAAATCATGGAACTTATTTCCGAGAAAGTTCTGCCTGTACTCTGGTTTTGGCGATGAGCCATTACCCCCTACAAATGGAAGGCATTTTATAGTATCCTAAGGGATTTTTTTTCCCTGTCAGCATTGCCAATAAAATGACTTTTCATATGATTTACACAGTTGATTAAATCATAAGGATTGTAATGTCAGAAACCTCAGAATCTAAATGTGCAGAATTATAATAGCAAAGGTATGCACATTACCAGTCTCGCTGGTAAATGAAAATAAAAATAGGATGAAGTTCTCCGCTGGGGGTTTATTCGAAACGCTACGCCTTTTAAACATTTCCACATCAGTGTAGTTTTGTTAAGTGATTCAGAAATGAGTTAAACACTTAATGCACACAGAACTGGAGGACAGGACCTTCCAGACATTCAGGCATCCTTCTTCCCCTTCCTCATACTCTGGACCCTGCAGAGAAAACCTGCCCACAGGGACCTCGCCCGCTACCAGGCCTCAGCAGAAGCCCTATGCAGCCGGGCTGCCCCAGCTCCGACGCCTGAACTCCAGAGCTGGGCAAGACATGGCTATTCAGGCAAAACAATTCAAGACGCATTTTAGGGAGTCCTCAAAATCTGGAAATGACTCTTCTAAGGTGAGACTAACATTTTGTTAAAGAATGAATGAAATCTTCTCAAAGCTGGATTCCGATTCTGATGAAAAAGAAAACACAGTTAAGGAAGGGTACAAAAGGCCCGCTCTCCAAATGGTTAACTTCACCAAAAGCACTCTTAGCAGGAACCTTACCCAGGAGCAGGACTTATCACATGCAGCCCATAGAAGCAAACACGGAAGAGGACAGTTAGTCTCACACATTTTCCACAGAATAACCACATGACTGAGGAGTCCGGGGACATGTGCGGCCCCGTTTCTTCTGCGCATGACAGAACTGGGTCTAGCCCATCTGAAATTGAGAAATGAAGGAGTTTATCAATAAGTTCTAAAATGATGGGCAGGGAGATGGCCAAGTTATAAATCCCTGGTTTCTCAGCAATCGATACGTATTTATTAAGAGAAGGTGGTAAATATGTGGCAAATATGTGGCTGGACATGGCCCGATTTGTTTCAAGGGACCTGCGTGCACTTGTGTGCAGAGGGCGTATCAGAACAGGCTGGTGGGCACCCTGTGGAGTGGGCTGAAGGTCCAGGCTGAGAGGGCAACCCACCATGGACCTCATGTAGTAGTTCACGTTTTCACCTCGTGCTGTTTTCATAATAAGAGAATGAATCCTGTTAAGGGAGCAAGGCCATCATGCAGACGACATGGAGGAAGACCCAGTGGGGCTCTCCTTCCAGACCAACGCACAGTCTGGGGTGGGGAGAAGGGTCAGTGACCGGCAAGCAAGGTGCGGATGGGCT